GTTAGAAAACCCTTTACAATGTAAGCCACCTAACTAACAAAACAATTCTAATGTAGATAAATGTGAATTATTAGCTACAGTAAAAGAACACAATTTTCCAATTCTCTAAGAAGGCTAGGAATCATGTTTATAACTGTATGATGCTCCCCATGTCTGCAAAATGCTCTTTACCACTTATAAAGCGCACTCAGTTGCATTTCTTTTAGCTAACGCTGTGGGTTTGAAGACTTGTAACATGACAATTACTGTGTTCTTAGCAATATATTTCTCTAACAGACACATTAGCCTTCATTTTCCCATTGATCTCCAGGAGATTTTTGTTACCAGATTTTCTAAGGGAGACTAGATTATTAGTCTAAATCATGCAATTGTGCAATGATGTGATGAACGAAACTTCTGCTTTTCCAACAGTCCCTCAGTTAGTGTCAGCTAAGTTAATCTGCAGCTCTCTGAGATGTTATCATCGTCATGCAGAGTATTTAATTAGCCTCCCGCTTTAAAAGCCAGCCCTGGGTGTCACTTAAAAGATGCATCTATTACACAATGGAGTGACAGAATGAATTATGATTTCTCATTATGAAGCCAGTCTTGAGAAATTGAATTACTGAACTCTTAGCAATCAGTACCCTTTCACCCTCTTACTGCAGCTCCAAATAAAAGACCAGAGCACCACCTTCTGCTCAATAACTGGAACCAAACCTAATGATGCAGGCAACGGACTCTGCCTGAGGAGAATTGCTGACATAACTGATCTATCTGGTTGTCAGCTGAAAAAAAGTTTTTTCTATTAAATTCATCTATACATGTCATACTAGTCAAAATTCATGCTCCTTCAAATCAGCCATTTGTAAGCCATCTATTCTAGAACTATAACTCTCAAGTTAGATAATTTCAAACTTCTGAGCATGGGAGCTGCCCTAGCACGTGGTCCATGACTTTGGAATGCACTGTGAAGAGACAGCAGAAAGCAGAATGACAACATTAATTACCTACAGAACAAAATATAACACCAACTTCTTAAACTTCACATTCCCAAATAAATATATTATTAAAAAAATTCTGGGGGGGGACTGAAACAGATCTTTTGGTACTCTCTGTACTAGTTATATGTGCCAGTCCACGAGCACTTAAGATTCCATTTACATTTCCAATGTATAGGCTGAAAGAGTCTGGAAAGCAATACAAATATTTACGTTGCAAGTTCTGTTAAATCTTTAACAGCAATCAGACATAGGAACTAATCTGAAATAGAAACAAAAATGTAGTATTAAAACAGACCCCATTATCCACCAGACTGATTTGTTTCGTCTATTTGAAAGAACAAGAGAGACTAAAAATACCTCATAATTTTCCATTTTAAAGACAAATTAACTATCCATTTCTGTCAATCTGTAAAAGACAAGACAACCCTCATTTCAGCAATCAGCTCCAGATGACATGGGCCTGAATCACTGTACAATTACAACTGCGATATCTCTGTACAGTTCTCATCAACAGACAATTCAATAACTGGTGGTGGCGGTCATAGAAGTTAATTTGGATTCACAGCAATAAGAAACAGATGACATTCAGCAATAGCAGCTTTACAAAGGATCACAGAAAAATTCCCCCATTATGATAATTATGAATAAAGTATGGTGACATCATGCTAATCAATTATTCTCCTTTTATCACCAATTCATGTTCTGTGACCTCTGAAGTCACTTTTGTTATGATAGAAAGGATACGTGAGCAGAGTCAAGGAACCGATGCTTCCCCTGACACAGATAACATGGAGCCTTCATGGTCATGAAAAGAGATGGCAGCAACCACATTAGGATGCGACACTGCAGCCAAACAGGAAAAAGTATTTCCATAATACTCTTTTATCACCTCTCTTTAGAGAATAAGCAAAGCTGCTGTTCTATGAAGCTAGGCCAGCCTGTGCACATTAACATACTGACTACCCTTCTTAGAGAAAGTGCTAACAAGATGCTGGTGCAGTGGAAGTCTTGTTAGAATGGTTTGGAAACATCTGCTTTACACAGCTCACATTTCTGTAATGGTATAACCAACATAAAAAATGTGCTAGGCCAAATTAACCTCTAGTGCAGGGATCTCAAACTCAAATCACCACGAGGGCCAAATGAGGACCGACAGTACATTGGCCTGAGGGCCGCATCACTGAAACCTTTTCCTACAACGATACAAAAGTATAGTCAAAAAATGAAGAGTAATATAGTATGCTATTAAAAGTCAATGTATTAACTTTTTTAAAACTGTAATGCAAAGAGGGGTTTTAATAAAATATAAACACATGTAACTATTCCTTATGTGGTCAGTAACACTGATGATGACCTACACTAACAGTCTATCAACATAGCTGTAATGGCAGGAACTTTTTAAAGTAACTATTCATATAAAATACATTGCCACTTTTTAACAAACATTCTTCCCAACTACTCACAACAAAGAATCACACATTCTGAACTTCATACATCAAACTACTTGTCTAGTCCATGAGGCCCCACCCCTGCCCCGCCTCTTCCAACTCCGCCCCCTCCCTGCCCCTATTCCAACCACTTCCCCAAATCCCTGCCCCAGCCTGGCCTCTTCTCCACCTCCTCCCCTGAGTGCGCTCCTGCTCCTGCTCCTCCCCCCTCCTGGAAAGTCCTAAGCACCGGCAAACAGCTGCTTGGCGGCGGGAAGCACTGGGAGGTAGGCGGAGCAGCGGGGACATGGCACACTTGTGGGGGGGGGGAGGGGAGCTTGGCTGCCGGTGGAGTTGGTGCCTATGGCGGGCCGCAGGAAATAACTCTGCGGGCCGCATGCAGCCCGTGGGCCACGTCTTTGGGACCTCTACTCTAGTGTATCTAAGCTAAGACCAGACGTGGAAACTTCAATCCAAAATAAATTTGTCTGGGAATGCTATGAATGGCCAAGGGCAGTATAATGGAGGCTGCATTTCATCCTAAATTATGGCAGTTGCTACTGGTCCTCCTACAACAGAGTTGAGACTCCACATGTTCTACTGGTCTGTATTCACAGCAGGGCAACAAGAGCTCCCAAGTTCTAATCCCAGTTCTCCCAGTGACTTGTTCTGTGCCCTCAGTTAAGTTTAATCTCTGTGCCTTGATTTCCCCATAAATAAATATCTTCCTTTTACAGATCTCACAGAAGGCAAGAATTAATTTGTTAACATTTGTCAGGCACTACATAAGTGCTGGGTATTACATCATAATCAAGAACGTACAAAAATAATTCTGTTCTCCTTTTATCCAAACTAATTTTAACAGGAAAGTCTGTTTGACCTGCTTTTCTGTATTTATATACATCTGCCTCTCCCAATCACCATAGTATCGAAATGCCTACCAAGTACCTTAAAAAAGAGACAACCTCTCTCATGTCTATGTGTATGAATTTAGGGTTCAAAATTAGTTTTGTATTTATTTCTGAACATAATAAGCTCTATGGTCATTCTTATTCCTTACAGGAATGAGTTCCATAGTTTAGATCCAGTTTTCATTAAAGTTCTGTCTCCAAAACTCAGAAGTCTCCCTCTATAATCAACAGTTTAATTGTTCTAGTGGAACATAGCTGCCAGGGGAGATCATGCTCATGGAAGGAGAAGAGATTTCAGGTAGCTAGGGCCAATTCAACAGAGGGCTTTGAATACTAGGAGGCAGGCATCTTGATTCTGACTCTGTATTCATTATGGAGCCAGTCCAGAGAACAGAGCACCAGGGTGCTGCATTCACAGCAATGCATATTGCTAAACAGAGAAACTACTGTAGTTTGTATTATTTAGAGCTTTTTCAGACTGTGGCTGTATTATTGCTATAACAAACTGCAGTAATTAAGCCTGAAGGTGGCAAAAGCTGGTTTGTTGAAGATAGGTTTGTGTCCAACAGGTTTTGGTACATTAAGCAGACCAGTCACAGTGGAAGTGGATGCTTTTTTGTCATCATGGTTATTTAGGCATCGTGAAGTACTGAGGAATCCAAAAATTTCCCTAGGGTGTGAACCTACTTACTCTGCCTTTGATAGCGGGGAATGCTATAGAGGCATGTTCTTCAAAGCAGTTGCTCTCTCCTTAGCAACATCACCTCTGTTGTGCCCAGATTCATCTTTAGCCAATTGCTAATATTAACTAGGCATTGAGAACACTGATAGAATGCTATTTGTGTATAGGAAATGTAGAGTTGGGCATTGTTTGCATTCTCATAATGCTGGCACTTCAGTCTCACCAGCTCTCCCAATGGCTTTATTTATATATATATATATATATATATATATATTAATGTTGAATAATATGGGGAGAGTAAGATTATACACAAGATGTCTACACAAGAAAGTTGCATCTGTTAAATTTAAGGAGCAATTTCAAATTATTATAGTTAAATTGGTGCAAATCACCATGTGGACACTTATCTCAGTTTAAGCGTGCCTTATTTTGGTTTAACTTAATTTGATTTGGAATAGATTTAAGATAAATTGAAATAAGTAACCCTTAAACCAAAAGGAAAGTGTTCATGCAGGTGGTTTCTACAGTTTAACTAAACTGCTTTAAAAACTGACATAAGTTGAAAGGGTGCAATTTTTCTGATAGGTAGGGTGAGAGAAAGGGGGAGAAATAGAGATGATGGAGGAAGGGGAGATAGAGAAGACAAAAGTGCAAGAAACCCTGCAGCAGACAATTTTGGAATAACCTGCCCAGAGGGGAAGTTTCTTCCTGACTGCAGCCAGCTAATGATTGTTTATGCCCTGAAAAATGAGGATTTACATCTTACATTCACTAGTCTAATGTAACTGTAGATGTTCTCATTATCCATAAAATGTTGTTTTGAGGACTACTAAGATCCTTGCCCCAATGATATCTTGTGGGAGTGAGTCCCAGCACTTATGTGTTGTGTAAAAAAAATTTATCGGTTTTAAGTATTTTCATGTTCTTTTGCACATCTGTACCCTACCATTACAACACTAAGACAAGTTAAATATGAAAAATGAGGACTAAAGCTTACCCTGAAAAGATCATCTCAGTGCTAAGCCGGGTGGTGAGATGATGACCGTAGCATGAGATGACACAAGCAACCATCAACAGCAAAGCACCAGGGGAACTCAGTGACTGAGGGGTACAGGGTGGCAAAGGGGTGGACGGAATGATTGAGTGGGCCAGGCAGACGGAGGGGTGAATGATTTGGCAGGTAGCATGAGAGGATAGGTGAGAAACAGAGGTAATCAGGGAAGGGAGGATGGCAAAGAGACAGCTATGAACTCACAGGACAGAGGGAGCAGTCAGAGACAGTAGGAGAAAAATGCTCGGAGAAAGGCCCTGGGCTGGGTTCCTCAAGCCCCCAAACAAATCCCTGGGTGGGCTGTTCCATAGGAGTTGTGGGGATACAGTAGTCACCTTGTGAGGGAGGCAACTGGGGGTTCACAATCACCCTGGGGGGGAGGGAACTATGGGTGCAGGGTCACCCTGTGAAAGGGACACTGAGGGATGCAGAGGGTTCAAGGATCACCCTGTGGGGGAGCAATGAAAGCTGCAGGGTCCCCCTGCAGGAAGGGCAGGAGGGTCACACTGTGGGCAGGCACTCAGGGGTGCAAGGTCACCCTGTGGGGGATGTCCAGGGTCACGCTGTGGGTGGCTCTGAGGGGCGCAGGGTCACCCTGTGGGGGAGCAATGAAAGGTGCAGGGGGGTCACACTGTGGGCAGGCACTCAGGGGTGCAAGGTCACCCTGTGGGGGATGTCCAGGGTCACCCTGTGGGGGGCTCTGAGGGGTGCAGGGTCACCCTGGGGGGGAGCTCTGAGGGGTGCAGGGTTACCCTGGGGGGGAGCAATGAAAGGTGCAGGGTCACCCCGCAGGAAGGGTGTGGGGTCACGGGGGGGCTCTGAGAGGGACATGGTCACGCTGTAGGGGGAGGGGGGCAATGACTCGCCAGACAAGCCCTAGTCCAGCCATAGCTCCGACTCCCCAGCAAGGGAGGGAGGCGCCCAAGGGCGGCAATTTAGCCCCTTCAGATCTCTCGCACAAGCCATTCCAATTCTCAGCCAATCAGCAATCAGGAATCTGTCTCCCGCTTTGATTGGATGAGATGCGCGGGCTGCTGCCCAATAGGAATAATAGTTGTTAGTGCCGCTAAGCGCGTTGTGGCTGTCGGGCTGTGATTGGTCGGAGAGGGTATGGGCAAGATGGCGGCTACTGCGGTTCTGCCCAGTTTGGGAAGCTGCGATTTCTCTGACTTGCGCGAGATCAAGAAGCAGCTTCTGAGTGTGGCGGAGCGGAGCCGCGAGCGGGGCTTGCAGCACAGCGGGAAATGGTGAGGGGGGGCCCGGGGAGCGGGGCTCGCGGCACGGCGGGAAAGGGTGAGGGGGGGCTCGCGGCACGGAGGGTGAGGGGGGGGGCCCGGGGAGCGGGGCTCGTGGCACGGCGGGAGAGGGTGAGGGGGAGCCGCGGGGCGCAATGGGATGGTGTTGGTGTGCGTCTGCCCTGCTGCCAATACCTCCTCCCTGGTTCTTGGGCATGCCAGGTGCCTGGGTCCTTGCTGAGCGTTGCAGCTGCTTCTGGGGTGGGGGGCACTATCCCAGCTGAGGGGGGGCCTGGTGCCTGCGTGAGGGCTGGGGATGTGTGCGCGGTGTGGTCTGTGGGGTGTTAATGTGTTTGAGGTCTCTTGGTTTCAGGGCCTCTGAGCTGGCATTTGCCCTGGATCCTCTGCCCCTGAGCGAGCTGCCTGCTGCTCCTGTGCTCACAGAGGTATGGATGGCAAAGACAATGACACCAGCCAACAATGAGCAGAAGGGGCTGTCTCTCTTGGGTGACCTCCCCTTACACCCAAAATGTTTTGCCTCTAATATGTGAATGGTCCTGTGCGAGGAGACCTCAAGGCCTAGCAATGCATCCTGCTATGCTCCATTTGACAGAGGCAACTCCATTTTTATTACAGTATAATCCAAGAACAAATTCCTAATGTGAAACTTGTAGACTAATGTTACTAACCAGCATTTTCAGTAGCTCAAGACCATTCTGCAAGAAACAAATTGTGTACAGGCCTCCACCATTTTGTAGGGAGAGTGAGGCAATAATTGGGCAATGATTAAAGATGTGCTTCTGCAAAAGATAATCTGGTTTCTGACTACACCAATTTAGTTTGTAATTGATGCGTTATAAGGCATGGCTAAATATAAGTCTTACAGTGAGGCTGTAAGGAGGCAGTATAATGAAGGAGATTTTAGAGTTCTCTGGCTTTAAGTTTAAATTTTCAGTTAAATTACTTGCGTTCCCCTGTCTCTCCCTTCCCCCACCTAAATATATACTCTGCATTCATTTCTGCTCGGCATTCAGCTAACTTATCTATTCTAGTGGTTGATCACTTAATATTTTATTTTCTGGAATTTCACTGTTTTCATACATTGTTTCAAACTAAGATTTAAATCTTCTTTACATAAAAGGACTGGGTGGTTGGGATGAAATGAGGAGTGGGGGACAATGTCTGAAAGTATTCAATTTTTATTTGGTGTGGCAGAGAATATTAAATCTGAGCTTCCAGAGCAGTGTTTTTCTTTTTTCCTTCCTAACCATTTGTCACCATGAGAAGACTTCCAAGGAACACAAAACTGTTGATTTCATGAACTCTCTCCACTTTAGGAGGATGCTCGTGATTTGGATGCTTACACATTAGCTAAGTCTTATTTCGATCTGAAGGAGTATGACAGGGCTGCATACTTTCTGCGGGGATGCAAGAGCCAGAAGGCCTACTTCTTGTACATGTACTCCAGATACCTGGTAAGACAACGAGGAAAGCCATCCTTTAATACTGAATTTGCCCCTGCTGTCTTTCCACAGAGCCTTGCGGGTTATAGTCTTCCACTTATTCTCTTCCCAGCAACAATCTAGAAAGCCAGGTTAATCCCTTGTTTCCTTGCTATACCTAACAGAATTTTTTTTTGGTGCTGTTGGGAGCTAGACTCAGGTGCTGTTAACAGAATTATACTGCAACCTGTGGAATAATGTATTCTCTTTTTACAGTCAGGAGAAAAGAAGAAAGATGATGAAACAGTGGATAGTCTGGGTAAGGATCTGCTTTTCTCAGCGGGAATAGAGAACCCAAGCTAATGAAAATAGAACTGCCAACATCATCTCTTTATGCAAACCATAATGGCTTTGTGGCCTGAGAGACTGTGGTTGGGCAGTGTAGCTCTGTCTGCTGGGCCTATGCATGGTCGTATATTCCTAAAGGCATTTGCCACAGTTTCTCAATGGCTGACCCATTCCTAAAGAATGTAGGTCACACTTAAAGGAAGGGGGATGGATTGGGTGTCTTTCTAAAAGATATGGTCTAGGAATTATTTTGGGGAAGTTCTATGGCTTGTGCTGTACAGGAGATCTGGCCTTAGATGCTATCAGGTCTACACACCTGTGACTGAAAAGGATTAGAGGTCATAATAAACAAGCAACTGTGATACTGTAGCAAAAAGAGCTAATCTGATCCTTGGATGTATAAACGGGAGTAGGGAGGTGACTTTTACCTCCTGTATACAGTACTGGTCAGATCAGTACAGGAATACTATGTTCAATACTGGTGTCAACATTTTAAAATGTGTTTAGTTTACCAAAAATATTGAGTATCAGAGGGGTAGCCG